CCTGGCAGAACAGTGTCAGGACTACTGAAAAAAAAACCTTTCCCCCACTCCTTTGTGGTGAAAGGGCCCTGACCCTCCTGCGTCTCGGTGATTCTTCTGCTCTAGCGGGTCTCTTTCCCTATTCTAAAATATTTTAAAGTGTTCTGTAGCTTGTTCATAATTAATAGGAATTTTACCTAATGGGAAATTAATGAACCAAAAAGGAGAAGGCTAATTACTGTAATTTAAGATTGGCAGTGGTTCTCAGACCCCACAAAGGATCGTGTTTTGCCACGCGTGTGCCGCGGACAAGCTCGTCGGCGCGGCTGGTGGGGACTGTGTGAAGCTTCACTGATAAATGACCTCTCAGGCACTTCTGACCACCCTCTCCAGGTGCTGTCTGCTATTTAACTTCCAGTGGAATTCGACAAAAAGAAAGGTAATTGAATAAGGAGAGCAGCAACAACAAAAAAAACGAAGCCTGACAAAGAGAGAAGCTGTGCTTTCCTCTGGAGGAGGAATTGCCCACACAGGTTTAAAGACTGCTAAACCAACCAGGGTCTCTTTGCGTCCTGGAGAAAAAGAAAAAAAAAAAACTACAACAAAGGAAAAAAAAGAGCAACAAATTTACTGCCTGACAGGAAAGAGCATATCATGAAAATGGCAGGTAGATTCCTTCGGCAATGAGCCCTGAGTTCTGTTGTTTTAGCTGGGAGCTCTCAGACTTCTCTAGTTTGGTATCACAGAGACACAGCAGCTCAAACAGAGTCCAAACCTGCATATTTTAAATATGCTTTTCTCAGCCTCCAGCACCTGCCCACATGTAAAACCTACTCCATACTACACTGGCCCTACCATGAGTAATCCAGCCACGCAGAGCTCTGCCAGAGCCAGCACACGTAACAGCACGGATTTACTCCTTCGGTGAGAGGAGGCGAGTCATGAGTGCAAGTGCTCAGCTCTGCAGTCACTGCTGGGTTTTTATTGTGTGCTAATGTATTTCCCACATGCAAAATAATGAAGCCCCACGTTATTAATGCTGGGCTTGAAAATAACACCACCATTTTCTAGCTCGTTATTAAAAGATTTGGCTATTACATATTTTATTTGCATCTTGTTACGCTGAGGGACTTAACTAATTTGATAAGGTAGTGCTATAAAATGGGGACTAGTCTCACCTAATTCAGGTAAGCATGTTTGCATTCCCTCATTCAACCTGATGGAAAAGCCAAGGGGGAGTCAGGGAGCAGGAGCACCATGGGTTCCTCAGGATAAAGGCAGGCAAAACTGCAGGAATTCTGCCCCATGGCAGTATTGCTGCTGGCTCCAGTACAACCCTTTGATATAAACAGCACGCCTTAACTTACATTGTCTTTTATCCACCATTACCATTAGAGAAACCCAAGAAGAGCAATGACATCCCTTGTGTTTGGCACATGAGGCACCTCACTGAAGTCCCCGCTATGCTTCCTTCACCCTCACAATGACCATAAATCAAACTGAAGCCAGCAATATGCATCCCAAGTATCTCCTGCCACCACAGCCCCAGGTTTTCCCTCAGTGTGCAGCAGCCCTAAAAAACCCCTGGAGCTGTGCTGAAGCAGCTTCTGTGCTGCAGGGGAGACACCTAAGCCTTGCAGGACTCCCCAGGGACCGGTTTGCTGGCAACCTGGCTCTACAAGTCCTCACAGAAGCCAACGTACATACAATGACAGGCCATGATTTAGCAGTTAGGTTGAATTTGTAAAGGTTTTTGGAGGGCCCCAGAGGCAGGGAATGGGTTGAAGGGACTGCAGGGAGCACCGGTAAGGGAGCTGGAGTGAGAGGATGGTGCTCTGATAAAGGTGAGACGCAAATTCCTTCAGTACATCGCAACATCCCCAAAGGCCACGGTGGCATCAGCATCTTGGGGACGCAGGACTTGCCTTCACCTTACCTTCACTGAAGACAAAATCCGCGGGGATGTCGAAGGGCTGGAGCCGCACTTCCGACAGCAGGAGCTGCACCGACTTCTGGTGGTCACTGGAGATGAGGGAGATGGTCTGCTGGGCCTGGCACTCGTAGGACTTCCCAGCGGGGGTGACCAGGGCCGAGAGCCGGTGCGAGCTGGCTGTGTGCTTCCCGGCTGGCCAAGGGACACAAACAGAGGTCAGGTCCCATCTCCGGGGGCCCGAGGTGACTCAAGTGACAAAGGCAATGGACCGAGCACGCGGGAGCGCAGCCGGTGCGCAATGCGGCGCCCGCGCGCTCTGCTGCTCCCACAGCACCGCCGCCTGCGCTCCTGCCGCAGGACCTGGGGCCCGTGGAGCTGGAGGAATGGTTTCTATTGACACACGTGCAAGTTTTAGCCTGGGACTGTGCTCATACTCCCCACATTTGGGAAGCGGCAGTTCCTATTCAAGCGGCACTTGAGCTCGGAATTCAGGTGGGAAGGAGCAATGCAATTTGGGGACCACGCTACAAAGCAAAACAGGCCATAATGCCTTTCCTGAAACTACAACGTGATCATTTCACCCAAGCATAAGTTACAATACAATATTTTCCCGTCAAGCTCGTTTCACAAACGAAGGCCGAATGCAGCTCAGCAAGGTGGAATGAGGGATGCCTTCCACCTCCCGCTCTTCTGCAGCCCTTTGTTCCCCTCCAGCAGCACAGAAAAGCAATCAGTGTTTCACACTGGCAGAAGCTGATGAGGCATGGCCACCACCGTGTTCTGGGGACTCAAACAGTAGAAACACCAGTGGGAAAACAGCCCCATATCTACTGTATCTTACAGCACAAACTCTTAGCCCGCTATTCTCACTGGAGTTTGAAAATCCTGAGGAAGAACGATTTGCAGATGACAGTACTTCAGTTTTTGATACAAGACAACTAATTTCTGAGCAGAAATGAAATAAAAACAAAATGAAAGCCAAAAGAACGGAAACCCAGCGAGAAAAGAGGAGGCTGCTGGGTGCAGAGGTGTGTAGGAGTATGATACTGATGTCAATCTCATAGTTATCCTGGGAAAGCGCTGCCTTCCCACCTATTCAACCACCATCAGAAGTGAGGAAATAATTAACCTTAAAAACCATCTCCCAGAGGAGAGGAGACAAGCTTTTTAAGCCCAGGTGGCCCCCTGCCCACGCCCTCGGGCCCTGGGTCCCGCCGGAGAGCCTGGGGCAGCGCAGCACACGGGCAGAGCTGGGCTCTCCTCCCACGGCAACCGCGGTCATTAAACACAATAAAAAAGGGGAGGGGGGACACAAAAAAATAGTTCGCCGTTTAAACCCGGCAGTTAGTCCCGGCTCTGTCGGGCGGGTATAGGTCTTCCCCGTTAAGCTGCGCCTAGGCGAGTAGCCCGCGGGATGCCCGCCAGACCCCCGGGATCCGCCTTAAGCCCCGTCCCCCGGGCGCTTACGGCTCACGGCGTCCTTGAAGTAGGTGCGCTCGGAGGTGTCGTAG